GTGCTCTCAACTCCGTTCAGAGCTCAGGTGATCTCCCTATTGGCGCTCCTCGTTACAGATGGTGAGCAGGGTCCGAACACGCTCTGTCCAGTAAGGGCTGTGAGAGTATACCTAGAGCGCTCTATCTCCGCCACAAAGGACCGCCGGCCACAAAGCAGCGATTTTCTTGCTGGATTGTCGATGCGTTAGCCTTGGCTTACACCTCAGAAGGCTTGCAATGCCCTATTGGTGTGAGGGCCCATTCCACAAGAGGGATGGCCTCCTCCTGGGCGTGGTCCAGCAGAATTTCTATTGGTGAGATCTGTGCGGCTGCCGGCTGGTCGTCGCCGTCCACATTTGCCAGATTTTATAACTTCGATGTCCCTGCTATACAGGTGCGAGTTCCGTCTGTTTAATGTTCCACTCTTTCCCCTTGGGCGAAGTTGGTTATATTGGTGCTTCTCAGCTACTAGCTTGGAGCACAATGTGCTTAGGTTCTTAGGGGTCCTTATTAGTGTAATTATTATTTTTTTATGCACATTTTGGAAATGTTTTGGTTTTCTATCCAGCATTTTTATGTGATATATCATAAAATTTTCTTAAAAATATGTGAGTGGGAACCTGGCTAACAACTTAAAGTGTCCTTATTATGCCATTTTGAATATTGCCTTTTATGCGGTGTAATGTAGCTGTATGTAAATGTAAACGATCTGCAAAGTTGTAAAGCCAAAAGTGCATGATAAATAAAGTTGTCTCCCAAAAGAAAGAATTGACTCTGTACAGCCTAAATGAGTCTTTAGTAATTTGAATCCCACTTCCGTGATGGCTACACGTCAAAGGGTAACACATTTGCATAATGCCCGCCTGCATTCTATGTTGGCCGGCTGCGAACAATTTGACCCGCCCTCAAACATGTCATTTTACTGACGACTGCTTCTCTAATCTCGGGGAGTTCAATGCGGGATTCACAAAATGCTTGTACTTGAAAGATGGTTCGGTACCCAGTTTATTTGGACCAGCTGACTCCACTAAATCACAACCTGTAAGTATGATAAATAATAGATGTTTAGATTTTCTATTGAGTGTTCAAAATATGGAACTATGGCAATGGGCGTATCGCTTTCGACAAACGCTGTACATGGTAGACCATAGGAGGTGTTTGGAGAGACTAAATCTTAGAACTGCTTCGAACAAATCATTTGAGAATCTTTGGAAAATTAGGTGATATTAAATGCATATTTTGAGAAAACGTAAGGGTGGTTTGACCTTACATGCATGTAATCCTATTGTAGGAGACTCCCAAAACAATATTGGGAACCCTAAAAATGGCATAATAGAGGCACTTGAATGTAAATGTAAATTACTCTTGCAGTAGTTCAGTGTATTGAGCGCCTTATTAAACTGGATTTCAGGAGAAGTGGCACAACTGATTACTGAAATTACCCATTGGATTCCAAACGTATAGTCAAATATTGATCAGAAAAAAAAAAGAACAAGATTACATTAATTCTCTTGTAAATGGAAGCAGCACAATCCTAATAAGCGTGGGGTTAGAATAAATAGTTTTTTACTTTTCCTGTGACCAGGTCAGGCCTCAGAGCCTTTCTCTTAGCTTAAAGCGGGAAGCGTCCCTGAATGACTGGAGCAGGTGGGAGAATATTCCTTTACCCTATAAGTATGTCAGACTCAAAAAATAGCCTGGAGAAAGCCAGCTCTCAGATCTCAGCTAACATTCATACTTACAACCCCAGAGGACCGGACCGTACAGTCTGGCCCAAATTTCTTCAGAGGTGTGCTATGGTGTTATGGGTTATTTGAGATTAATCTGTGCATACAGTCTGATTTTGTATGATCATAAACCATGTGACCACTAATCTTGGCATCAGTCCAGCGTTTCTAATAAGTTTAGGAATTTTTTGCTTTTGGTAATTCTCCGTGGATGTGCCATGACAAGTTGGTTTCTTCCAAATGTTCTCCTAAGGCATTTCATTCTTTTTTTCCTCATCCATGGAAGATGAACTATATGAAAATATGATACATTTGATACATTACTCATTGTTCTTTTACTACCTTGAGGGGCTAGTTGCCCATATTGTGTTATCACAAACTATCTTTATGACAGCATGGAATTGAGTGTTTACAATGAAAATCTGATAATGAAATTTCCTGTCCCTGTCCAAATCAGGCCCAGTTCTACTTTTGTTTTACTCAAACAAAAGTAAGAGCACTCCCAGTTGAAGATGTAATAACAGCGTATTGGCGAAACAGCTTTGGCAAATGGTCCAGTGCAATCCACTGTTTGTGTTTGAGCGTTTTTTTTTAGCCACAAATCACAGACCTATCTATTGATTTCTTAAACGCAGTGATCAATCAGAGTCATTTAAGTTAGAATCCAGTCAACACTCAAAACAACAGAGTTTTTGGTCCAGTGACTGATCCAATTTTTCCCCCGAAAGTGATTCCATTGACTGACAGAACTTCTTTACAATACTACAATATCATTTAATGTTTAATGTTTTAACCTTCAAAGCATATCAATGATTGTCTTCAATTTTATGTAGGGCTGCACGATAAATTGAAATGGAATCGAGATCGTGATTCGACAGAAGCTGCGATTGTCATGCGTATCTTTCAGTGAAGCACGGTTCTGTGATCAGCAGTAAATCTCCATCCAAAGGTCAGAGGGCGCTCCCGTGCTGAAACTCCAAATACGCCTCAATGCGCATGACAATCGCATTCGATTAATTGTGCAGCCCTAATTTTATGTGACTGAAATGGTCGATATAGACATGTCTGTGTTTAAAATTAGCTTGTGATTAACAAGCTAACCAATTAGTCCAATAGTTTAGCATCTTTCATATGCTCTAATATTTTTTTATTTAGTTTTAATCAAATTAGTACAATGTGACCACTATTCACCTAAAATAAGGGAACAAATTAATGTTTTAGGAACTAATTAATATTTTATGTGCACAATATATACAGTGAGTATAGAAAATGATCACCCCCCCCTTTAAAATGTTTACATTTTGTTTCTTTGCAGCCTGAAATGAAGAGGGACACAGTTTTTGTTTTATCCAGCTATATGTACTCAGTGCAACTTGTAACATCCAAGTGAAAGATATAACACCAACATGTAAGAAAAAAACAGAAAAAAAACCCAGAATCACTGATGTGTCTCTATTAACTTTACACATCTAGACTTTGCCCACTCTTCTTTGCAGAAATGCTCAAGTTCAGTTCAATTTGATGGTGAGTGTTTGTGGACTGCAGTCTTCAGGTCATTCCACAGATTTTCAATGGGGTTTAAGTCTGAGCTCTGACTAGGCCATGCAAGGACATTCATCTTTTTCTCCATCAACCACTGTGTGCTCAGTTTTGCTGTGTGCTTTTGGGTCATTGTTCATATGCTGGAAGGTAAACCTAATTCCCATTGACAACTTTCTGGCAGAGAGCAGCAGATTTTCCTCAAGAATTTGATGGTATTTTGCCACATCCATTTCTTCCCCCTGACAAGTGTTTCAGTCCCTGCTGCAGAGAAACACCCCATAACAGGATATCACCACCTCCATGCTTTACTGTAGGAATGCTATTATTTGGATGGTGAGCTGTATTTCTGGATTTCTGCCAGACATATCGTTTGGTGTTGAGGCCAAATAATTTTCCTGCAACTGCTTCAGAGTTGCTGTAGGCCTCTTAGTAGCCTCTCTGACCAGTTTCCTCCGGCTCTTTCATCCAGTTTGGAGTGGGTATAGACTTAAGAATAGTAGTAGATCCAGGGAGGGTATAGACTTAAGAATAGACTTCACTGTGCTTCTAGGCATTGATAAAGCCTTTAAATTTTTTTTTTTTTCATTCTCCTGATTTGTGCCTGTCCACAACTTTATC